TAGTCCTTTCTGAACTTCCCAATTTCGGACTTAACGTATGAACTACCAAATTTCTGATTCGCAATTTCCCTTTTAGGGTTTTTTATGTGCTATGCTATCCTGTAGATGAACCGAACACATTCATAATTTTGCACATCATTTTTGGCCCAAATAGCATCAATTGGGAATTTAAGTGTGTTTGTAAGACCATATTGAGTTATTTCTATGTGATATTGGTAATTAGTTAGAACATTCATGTGTCATATTTCTTATGAATTTTTTTAGGGGACGGACCACCCTGTTCTCAAATGCTAGCTCCGCCACTACCCATAGCAATGCCTCACACTGATGCACATCTCTTATGAATAATTGTATTTTGTTAATTAGGTTTTTATATATTTCATCTATGAATTAAAACAATACAAGTTTCAGTTAAGACACCTAATACAACATGTGCTGCAAGTAACTAAATTTGAGTGACATGAGGTGATTGTCCATATATCATGGGGATGGATTGAATGGGAGTTGAAAATCTTAGAATTCCCATATTTGACTATGAGTGTAAATTGGGCAAAACTGTGTCGTCTCCTATGTACTGCATAGTAATTCTGCTTTTATCCTGCAAATTTTAGTCGTGCTAGATATGCTCATTACAGAGCACATGCTGTCATTTGAGGGTGGATATTCTACTCGAGTGTACTACACTTGATTTTTCAAATTCCCGAGTCCAAGCCCCTGATCCTGTCGCCGCCACAATCAACATCCGGGTCCGGACTGGCGAGCAGCGTGGCGGCGCCCGCTCGGCTCCGCCGAAACGACCGCATCCCGCACGGAGGCATCTCTCTAGGTTGCGCGGCAGTGACACAATGCTCTTAAATTTGGTCAGATAACATAGAGAGAGAGCAAGTCTTCAACGTTAGTTTCTGAAGATGATGAAAGAATCTCAGTTAATTATTTACATCCCCGGTTATCATCAGAGTGTAAACTGTGTCTTTGAGTTGCATGTAGGTTATTTGAATGTATTGAATTTCTACAGTTATATTAAGATCCATATTACCAAAACTTGTTGGTTATGACGGGATATCCCAATGTATAAGGAATAAATCTTGGTCAGATGCATGGTGCCCATGGTTGACTATTGGTGCAAGCTGGTGTTGTCCCATCGTGGCAATGCAGATTTGGAGGCGGGGTAAAGGCCGATGATGGCATCGAGAAAAATTAGGATGAGCAAGGCAGCGACATTGTATAGTAACACGGTCATGTGTGTGCCCTCTGCGTGGCAACGACGGGTATCCATTGGAGCAAGGACAACGGCGCACACACACATACATGTTTAAAATGATGCTCGAGGCCGCAGGGCCGATCTGGCATGTGGATGGTACATGTCTGATTATCAACATTGGATTCCGAGCGGTCCGTTGAATTTAGAAACGTTAGTTTTAGTTTACAAAATATTCATGACTTATATGCTCTTCTATCAAGTGTGAGTGGAGGAAGGGTGAGTGGAGGAAGGGAGAGACTGGGAAGAGTAGAGAGAGAAGGTTATTATAGGATGATTGTTGTCGAATCACTCAAATATATGCATTGTAGCCCGTAGCAACGCACGAGCTTCTACTAGTGTATAGTAATATTGTTATATCCATCTTAATAAGATGTGTGTGTGTGTGTGTGTGTGTGTGTGTGTGTGGTGGGATGGGGGATAACTACTAAACTTAGTATTTACCTTTTTCTTCTGATTTGTACTCTTAATATTATATTACTATGTAATTAAGTACATGCAAATGATGTGACATAACTAAATGATGTGATATTCTTGGAACTGGAAGTTGTTTTCAGAAACAAACAAAGATATGTAGCATCTAAAGAAATGTTTTGTTTGCAAGTTCTAGTGAAGCATTAAACTATATTTAACACTGAAATGCATATGTTCCAGAAGAACGCCAGTCACGTGGTGATGGTAAAAACATAAAGAGAAAGAACTAAACCGAAAGGATTTAATGAGACTTACATGGCTAGAAAATTTCGGACCTCATGCCACTCTTAAGTTGGATGTTTCATCGTGGATAGGAGAAATATTGAAGTAAAATTATAAGAAGTAAAAGGCAGAATGAAAGAAGATTGAAATGTCCAGCTCACGTGTGAATGTACTACTAGTTATAAGATGTAGAAAAGTTTGGTTAAGTGTAATTTTCAGAATTTTGATTACATTGTTGATCACTAGTTCTTCGAAATTGTGGTTAAAAGTTGACAACAAGGATATTGCTCCCTTGTCGGCATGGAAAGGGGAAGAGGAGGCCGAATTGGAGGTGGACTCCCCCTCCATGGCCGACAAAGGGGGAGGGTTTCCTTCCCCTTGTGGCGCCCCTTCTCCCCTATCTCCAACCTATATATATTATAGGATTTGGCACTTTTGAACACACAAATTTTGGAGTCTCCTCTAGTTCTCTAGTTCTAGTTGGTCCTAATTGATCAATTAAAGCTTGACCAAGATCGTCAAATCCTCATAATTAGAAGCTCAATGCGGTTCTAATCTCCTCCCTCGAATTCCCCGATGAGGATTAGCTCTGGACGATGAAGCACTGTCGGATCGTGAAGATAGTATGCTTGCAAATCATAGAGAGGTTGTGCTTTCGGTCTTCCCTTCGAGGGACTGATCGTGAGCGGTTCACGAGATCGTTCATCTATGGTTCGGGGGACGCCAAGCACAATCTTCACCGACTCCTCTTCTTACACTGCAACCCCGATTCGGTAACGAGCAAATCCAAACCGTTAATGCATATTCATATTTTTCTTGGGTGATCGTAGGGCAATATTTTGCTACTACGTCCACC